CATGTGGATATATCAGGAGTTAAATGGAATTTTCTATTCCAAATACAACATCTTGAAGCCTTGTTATATAGGAACTTCTGTCCCTATGTCAAAATTGCACTGAATTATTCAATATGGTCATGTTCTTTAAAAGTCTAAAACCTCATTCATTTGACAACTTCTTATTGTTTAGTTCATATAAACAAATGGTAGAAAGTGAAAGTCGATTTTTTCTGTATGCATTGTATTTTTTATTGATTCTTTGGGAATTTCATACCGTACACTCTAATCTCACTCCTCTCCCAGACCCTCCATATCTGCCCCTACATCTTGTAGAGTCCTGCCACAAAGGAAAGCAAAAAAGGAATAAAAATAAAATAAAAAATAAACAATAATAAAATAGAAGAAGAAAACAGTAAAGTACTTTGCTCCCCCAGCCCCTGTCTTTCCCACCTCTCCATCACCTCTCCATCATCTCTCCATCATTAGTGGCATTGGGAGCTGCTGTGTATCATGCAGGTCTAGTATTGATGGTATACTGAAGCCAGGGCCTTGAACCTGACCAACATCCCATTACACAATGAACATTTGCAAGTGAAGCTGTTGGACTATCCCTCCTCTTGTTCTGTCGACTCCCATCTCCAACTTTAATTGTAGATTTGTCAGTTTCCATCCACTTTCTCATTCAGGTTGGAGAATTCTTAGTTAAATACTTTTCAAGTGGAGTATTCTGTCTGCCTGAAAAATTGATCCCTTTTCACCACACACATGTATATTATAATATTTGTGTTATTCAGAATAGATACTTTCCTTAGTAAAACTTACTGTTCAGCAGTTTACTTTGGTAGTAACATGGTTACTAGGGCGTTTTTAAGAATTCTGCCTTTTCCTGCCTCATAACTCTGACTCTCTGCCCATACATTTGTTTTCTATTCATCATAGAGTGAAATCCTGTGTGGTTGCTTATCTTCTCTGGTGAATTCTCCCATCTAGAACTTTATGTTTAATGCAATTACATAGTTAGTTTGAGTCTTCTATCTTGATTGTTTTAAGTTCACTGTTTCTGTCCAAAATGTCTTTTGTGTCTGGTTTTGCATTCAGTTTATCATTCTATTTATCCCCTCACCTAGCTTGTTATTTAGACATCTTTTAAAAAAAATTAATAGCTGCTTTTCAGGCACTAAAGGCCCGAGAGCTACTAAACTCAGAGCTCCTTCCTTGCTAAACATGCCAGAAAGCTGCCAGACCTCTGGAGCTCATCCATTGTGTATTATATCGGCTGATCCAATAATAGTTTATATTTTACAGATTATTTGTGTCAAAATTTCTGTCTTTTGTTATGGTGGAATTCAAGACTTTTGTAAACCTCTCTTAATTAAATACACATGATGGATGACAATATGGTGATAGAATTTATGCACACTGTACCTTTCAGTGACTGAAGCTAATGAAATGCTAAGAAATTCCTTATAAAGTTTAAATTTTATGCAGATTTATTTGCATCAACTCTGTACAACTCAGGTGTCTTGCATGATCCAATTATTTTACATTTCCCTGGCACTACCTTTTTATGGTTCTGGGTTCCAGAATGACCTTATAGTCCTTACATTCTGTTTGGTCACAATCTTTTTTTCTTACAACTGAGAGTGTGAGAATGAACTGACGTCATGTATTGCATGGGTGCAAGCCTCTCTGCCTCCCATAAAAATAAACTGAGAAATTATGAAACAATGATTTGAAAATTGCATATATGTGTTTAGACATGTAGGTATGTACACATGAGTGCAGTTCCCACAGAGATGAGAAGAGGCTCCAGATTCCCTGGAACTAGAGATATTGGTGTTTGACTTTGGGTAACTGTGATAGGTGATGGGAACTGAACTCAAGTCCTTTGAAAGAGTACAGTGTGTGTTTTTCTGTTAGGCCAACTCTAGCCCCATCATTCAAAAACTTTAAGAGAAGTTTGGAAGATAGTAAAAATGTAGTCATTATGTTTAGTTGTATAAAAATATATGAGCCCTTATGGAAATAAGTAATTCTTTTTCTGTTTTGTTACTTCTAAAATTAATCTTATCATTCTGTACATTTTACTTATATAAAATAAGTCATTTGTTTCTGTACACCACCTTGTTTCCAAGTTATATTCCCTCCATTTAGAATATTTCCCCTCACACTTTCTCAAAAATTTTTAACCCCTTTTCCTATTTTTCTAGATTCCATTTATGAGAGAAGGTATGTGTTAATTGTTTTTGGAGAGTTGTCTATTTGTAAACTTGATGATACATAGTTGGAACAATTTTCTTGAGAATCATACAACTTTTTTCTATAATTTTTATTTTGAATTATCTTACATTATTTATGGATATTGTGTGATCCTTAGTCATTCATATAATGGTGGTTCTCTGAGCTCATTCCCTGAATCATCTGTTGCAGGGAGTGCAGTGATAAAACATTACACACAAACTCACCTTACATGTATAGTGATTCAGTGTTGTTCATTTCAATCAGTGTGCACACCCAGGAGTGGTACAGCGGGCATGTCTATGTTAAATTTTCATTCATAACCATTGTTACAGTGTCCACAGTACCTGGAATGTTTTAGTTTACAATGAACATGGCATATGTGTTCTTGTTCCACCTCCTTTGCACCTTTAAAAAATTAGATTTGGTGAAAAATGTAATCATTTTAAAGACACTTAAAGCTGGAATTATGGGGCAGTCAGAATATTATTTTACTAATGTGACAAATGAGTCTGGGGCCCAAGAAAATGACCACAGAATCTATAGTATATGAGCCAGGCTATAAATCCTTCTGACAATTTATTCTAATTGAAATATTTGCCACACATTATTCTGAGTGGTCAGAGCTTGACCTCGTATTACTGCATGGCTGGTTACCTCAAAGTGGTCCATTTGGTAAGGAGAATGTACTTGTGAGTACTTAGTTTAACTTTGCACCCATATTTGTATTTCATATATTTGTTGGCATGTGAGATACTGTCTCAGATATGCTGATTGTGAAAAATTGTTTTCATCATGCAGAAAATGAAACTCTGCTCTTTATCTTCTACTATACACAAGCTCTGCACCAAATGTGTCATAGACCAGATACCCTGAAAATGCCAAAGGATACAGAAGAGAAAATACTCCCACTTCTAAGCACAGGTAAGGATATTCTGAATAGGACTCTTGTCCAATAGTAAATGAGACCAAAAATCAACAAATAGGATCTCATGAAATTAAGACTTTATTTCAGCATAAGAAAATATAATTTAAGTCGTAGCATACAGAATATGAGAAAGTTACTGGTGTAATAGTGGCATGAGTGTTATTGTGTAATTAACTTCCTTCTGATCTGGTGAGGCCTGCACTATAGGAAGGAATTAGTACCTGCTACTGTGTACCTGGTCAAAAGACACTGGCTTGACAGGTCATAGCCCTGTAGATGATGCTGCTATTGTTACTTAGTGTAGTAGCAACTGCTTTGTAAATATTTTTGTTTTACACATAGATCTCTTTAGCTCCCAGTCTTGGCCAGAGGTTCTCTTTCTGTGGTATGCAGCAGCAAATGCACAGCCTCATAACTTCAAAATGTTGAAATGACCATGAATGCTCATCCTAAATGGGACCTGTAGATCAACCACTTCCCCTAGGCATAGGAAACATCCTGGAAGTGGGTCCTGAATGTCCTGACTGAGCATGAGGGAACTGCTGTGACATGCTGTCCTTTGGACATAACATGGCCATTTCTCACTCACAAGAGCTGTGATCACCTGCAGCTTCAGGTGACCGTGTTCAGGACTGACTGTGAACACACCTATCTGTCCTGAACCAGACAGCTGGAAGAGGCAGCCTGCTGGTGGAAGACAAAGCCTACTAAGCCTCTGTCTCAGTACAGAAATTGGCTATTTGTTTTTTTTTCTTTTCTTTTCTTATCTATCTACCTGTCTATCTATCTAATTATTTTCCTTTTATTTTATTTTACAATAACATTCAATTCTACATATCAGCCACAGATTCCCTTGTTCTCCCCCTTCCT